CACTTCTCTAAGTTGACCTTATACTTGTGCTGTCGCAGGAGTGAGATAACTGTTTCAACATGCTGTGCGTGCTCCTCGGCAGACTTACTAAAGATCGGAATGTCGTCTAGGTAGACCACGACAAACTTATCTAAATGGTCATGGAAGATCCGATTTATAGCGTGCTGGAACGTACCCGGCGCATTGCAAAGACCAAAAGGCATCACTACAAACTCATACAGACCATAACGAGTCTCAAAAGTTGTCTTGTGTTGGTCCTCAGGTCTTATTGGGATCTGGTGATATCCGGATTTCAAGTCTCTCTTTGTATAGTACTTGCATCCTTGCACCCTATCCAATAGGTTGTCTATGCGAGGTAGAGGCTCTACGTTTTTCACAGTGATGGCATTGAGGCGTCTATAGTCAATGCACATCCTCAAAGTACCCCACTTCTTCGGTACGAATAGCACTGGTGATCCGTAAGGGGAAGTACTAGGCCGAATCCACCCCTTCTCTGTCAGCTCCTTGAGCTGCTTCCAAAGTTCATCTAACTCGGCAGGGGTCATCCTATAGATCCTTCCCTTTGGGGTCTTACTCCCTGGAATGATTTCTATAGCGTGGACGACTTCCCTATCAACAACTCCTGAGGGCTCCTCGAACAGATCAGGGAACTTAGCAACGACGCGTTCTATCTCTGGGGGTGTTTTAACGGCCTCCCCTTTCTCAGAGACATAAACAAGGTACATACCCTCCTCTTCGTTTTGCTTGTAATAGTTGTAAAACGCGGATGCGCACAAGCAGCCATAGGTATCTACAATACTACTGGCCTTGAACTTGGTCAATCTGTCAGTTCGACCATCGGGCAACTTGTATTTAAGCACCTTCTTATCCCAGTCGAACTGGGGTTCAGCAACTTCGAGGTAGTACATGCCTAACAACATATCGAATGGCAAGTCGTCGCTAACCAAGAACGAGATCTTATGGTTAAGCTCACCTCCTCCATAGGAGAAGGTACAGACTACGTCCTTGATGTAGTCTGTTACAATCATGCGCTCCTTGTTGGCGAAAGTAGATGCTACAGGTCTACTAAGGTGCCGTACCCGGTCCTGTAGGTGCAGCCTTTCCAAACAGTCGCAACTTATGTAATTTCGCATGGAGCCAATATCTATGAAGGCACCACATTTGCGGCCTCCTACATCGACTTCCACCACGAAATGTTCCCCTCTAGGACCTTTCCTCAGCGCCACCCAAGACTCGCGAGGGTCCTTGTTTGACCACTCACTCTCTAAGTCCTCTAAGGCTTCAGACACATCTAACGTACAGAGCATAGTTCGGTCTAGTTGTGTCTGCGGGGTGACTAAGGGGTCATTACCCTTGGCCTTGTCATGAAGTAGGGAGGGTATCAATCCTACTTCATCTTGAGTAGAAGCAGCTACTACTTCCACTGGCCTCACGTGTTTCCCGAGCTGGAAGCCAGGGAATAAGTAGCCCCTACCTTTGGAGCAACCTTTTGCGTAACCTTAGCGTTCTGACACTTCCACTGAGTGTGTCCGTATTCTCCGCAGTTGATACAAGCGCCACGCATTCGGCGGTCACGCCACACGTCTTGATCAAGACCTGCCTTTACCCACTCAGCCTTTTTGGTCTGATTGGAGGCGGCCTTCCCTTGACCCCTAGGCTGACCTTTCCCTCGGCCTGCCGCCTTAGTCTTAACTACCGCGGCGAGGGTGCTACCCTCAACTACCTCCTCGCCGTCATACTCTGAGTAGTCCATCAGGTCAGAGAGCTCATCGATCTCAGTTTGAGTCCCATCAGACTCAACCATCATCAACTTCACCCCCTTCTTCTTCCACTCCTGAGGACTCTTCTTCTTCTTTGAGTCATTCCCTGAGGTGGGTTGAGCATTGCCTAGCGTGGCCTCTAAGTCTAAGGCTTTCCGAGACAATGTCTCAAACGAGTGGTACTCAGTGCGTGCCTCGCTGGCTAGTAAGTTCCTTATGTTCTCTGGGAGACATCTGACAAATGTAGTCAATAGGAACTGATCGCTGTAGTTGATGCCTGGAACGAGGATCAGGCTCTCGACGGTAGTTGTAAGCTCTCTAACTGACCTGAACTTGCGTTGGTCCAGTTTGTTAATGGCATCCGTGGCCCTTTGCGCCTCCTGTGGATTATGCCATCGAGCTTCTACCATTTCCATGAATTGGTCGAGAGTCAAAGACTTAGCCCAATCTGCCATGTGTCGCCCGTACCCGGCCTTTACAACTACTCCATCTAGCCACTTGGCTGCCTTACCCTCACGGTAGGATGCAGCAGTTACCACTTCGTCCTCAGGCAAGGTCCTCTTTGCCTTCACCCAAACCGGGACCGTTCTCAGCCATAAGTTGAGTTCCTCGTCCTTCCTCTCGCCTGAGAAGGCAAGAGGCGGTTTCATTGGGGTCTTAGGATACCATTGACCTTGCGTCTGTCCAGGTTGCTGAACAGGTTGTTGCGGTGATGTAGCTATCACCGCTGGACCCGAAGAAGAAGATGCAACAGTCTGTGCGGCTGCTGCGGACGTACCACTTGGTTGTGAACCAGCTCGAACTGGAAAAGGGCCTGACATCGCCGATAACGGCAACAGCGATTGTGCTGGTGGCCTAAATCCTGGCCTTGTTAGGATGTCCAGGATCTGGTCCAAAGTGCTCTGCATGAAGTTCAACCTGCTGTCCACATGCGCATGCAACGACAACATGTTGTTCCTCAACACTTTCATGGGCTCATTCATTCCTGAGTCATCTAAGCCCTCCAAGTCAGCCTTGTCAGACTCTAACGTTTCAAGCCTTTGTTCTATTCTTTATCTCTTTTTCTCTATCGGTAGTCTCTTTCAGATCCTTCTCTAACCGTGCACGGATCCTTTCGACCTGTTGGAGCTTCTCATCTCCCTTTCGCGAGGAGTCAACGGGCTGTACTGCGAGCCCGCCATTTGACTTGTAGATTGTCTAGAACCTGTTGAACTGGAAGTGCCCGTGGACCCTGTTGGCATTCCAAACTGGGGTCCAGATGAGAACGCAGCAGAAGTTGCAGCGGAGGATGCTGCTGAAGAAGTCATGGCTGCTGCCCTGGCTGCTGCTGCAGCCTGTTCCCTAGCTGCAAGGTTTGCTGCTTCTCTCGATGCTGCGAAAGCACGGGCTCTGCGTTCGGCACGAAGCCGTCTTTCTTCTCCTTCGTCTAGGGTCCTGAACACGTACGGGATCCTACTTGATCTTGCACGTGTTAATCTTCCATCGTCAACTCTCTCCTCATCGATGTCTGATCCGCTCATGAGTTAGGCAAACTTTATCTGCACTGGAATCCCCTAATGGTATCCTACCGCAACATGTGTCTGACCGGCACCTAGTTTTCTAGAAATGGATATGTCCGACAAGTATCCTACTATACCGAATTAAGTGGCATGTCTACAACATTCACACAGATTGTCTACATAGTCTAGATGCACCCTGGATGGTTCACTTACATCAGCATTAGTTAGAACTGGCTATGGTACCATACAACAGTCCTACACTAATCTGTCTGTGAGGTTAGCAGTCCGTCAACCAACTAACCAAAGGTACAAAAAGACAATGTAGCAGATGTATGATTGATGGGTATGGTTGTGTATACAGTTGAGCACCAATTAGAACCTACCCTCCCCTCAATCCAACATACCGAACAGCATCATTGAGCGAGCAGTCTCTTCGTGTGTGTATCGGCCCACCCCTGTGCCCAAGTTGTCACCGAGCAAGCCAGCCCAACCACTCTTATTTACCCTCGTACGACGACGAACCTTCCTGTCCATGTGATCTGGCTGATCAGGAGGAATTTATAGAGCGCCCCCATCTCTTCAGGAATTATTTAACGTCGCAGTCAGGACGACGATCACAGCCAGATTCACAATGAACTCCCAACCAGAAATATTTATAGACGGTCTGGTAAGCGTCTGTCATGGGCTGGCACACCCGGAGGAACTTCTATTAGCGCAGCAAGTGCCAAACAGGACAGCAGCCATCGCATGCGTGCACTACTCCCTGTGGGTTGGCATGGTGACCGTGACCCAAGTGCTTCGACCAGGGCCCTTTAGAGGCACCGCCCTTTCTCCTCCAGATGCTTCCGGGAAGATTGTCGTCTCTCAAGGTAGCGTGCTCACGACACCTCACCAAAAGAGAGGACTCTCAAGTTGGACTCACTTCCTCACGGTAAGAAGAGATTGCGAGAGTAGATAAGGTAAGGGATCAACATACCTGGAGATAGCTGCCCCCAACCACAGATTTCTCACCAATTGAGCTGATATTGCATTTGATGACCGGTCATGACCTCGGTACCACCCACAACGCAATGCAGTGCCACCTTAGTCCAATGCCACATCAGCATGCTCTCATCATCAATCAAACATTCCGCTGTATCCCACGGCATACAATGCCGGAATAGCCTTCCGGTGCACCCCTCTCTACCCAGGGCGTGCACCTATCAATGGCCTGACGTCACAAGTACCAACTGCGAAGAAGCATCATCAATGCACCAAGTCTGTATAACGCCAGCATGCCGAAGGTAAGTGGCGATCAAACCAGCTCCGATACCAAATTGCAAGGAACATGAATATGGACGAAGCACAGAAATCCAGAATGCAAAATCACACTGAAGTCCAAGTAGTCAAAGCCAAAGCAGATAGCACATGGA